ATGTAGTTTTTATAGGCTTTTAAGATGAGCTCAACTTTCCTTTTCATAGAGTTTAATTTTTTTTTTTTTTTTCGGCTCAGGTAGGTACACTTACTTTTTGTGAAGGTATAATTTTGCATGCAAAACCTACGCATTAGTGTGTGACTAAAAAGGACCTCAAAGTGTATAAATCATTAAATGTTAGTGCAAACTGTTGGCTTCAGATGAGAATAAAACCGACAAACTTGTGACTTTTCATAAATAAATCACTGTCAGTCAACCTGATACCCTCTGCACTAACATCTGTGTGCAGATAGACATAGGTCTGTATGTCAAGGTTAAGTAAAGAGTCCTCACCTCTGTGAAGGCATGACTCATGGCTCCACAATGTGCAGTGAGTACGAGGGCACATAGTAGATGAGATAATCAATAATTCAACAAAGACTGACTTCCTCTGTCTCTGCTCTGCACTCATCCTCTCTCACTGCCTTGTCTCCATGTTTCTGACTGTCTGAGTCTTTTCTTTTTTTCATCTTAGCTTTACAAACAGCTCTCATCTCTGATCTCATCTTTCAACCTGTATGTTCTCTTAGGTTTGCTGAATCGCTTTAAACAGGCTGGAATGTGCAGTAATTCCAATCTGAGTCCAGTTCATGTGATCTTTGGCTTTCAAAGGATTTCTTTCTCTCGCTGTATCAGGAACACACCGAGTTTTTTAATGCTTCAATTAGTTATGCAGAGTGAGACAATCCATTTGCTGATTCCTATTTTAAGATGTTACACCTTGGTCTGGCCTTCAAGGTTTGACTGGTGCATTTGAGGACTTTAAGAAACTGTATTTTTGACAGCTGAACTCGGAATAATCATTGCTGCTATGATTCTAGGCAGACGTTTAAGTGCATACATTACTGGCATGAATGTGAGTTTAACTTTGGACATTCCGTTACTCGTCTGAGCTATTTTATTTCCACAGTGAAACAATTACAACCGCATCACTTCAAGTGATGATTAAAACAAGAATTTGTTACAGGGGTTTGAAAATATAGTGAACTTTATCAAATACCTGGATACTCATCTGATCAACCAATACTCAGGATAATGGAAAAGTCGTGGGGACTCAGTGAAGACAACTGCTCAAAAATGGACTCCTTAATGTTTGCCTGAATCTTGCAACTGACCACAGGGACAAGTCAAATGTCTTCTGTTGAAACACTTTCTGATTAGATTAGACAGTTTTTGGTTACAAGGACAAAGATATTTAGTTATGATGAGACTTTTAAAACGAAGAACAGTGTAGGATCATGACTTTATCTATCTATCTATCTATCTATCTATCTATCTATCTATCTATCTATCTATCTATCTATCCATCCATCTATCTATCTATCTATCTATCTATCTATCTATCTATCTATCTATCTATCTATCTATCTATCTATCTATCTATCTATCTGGACAATGTAATAATAGAGAAGGATTCCCTCTTAGATTCCCTACTGGAAACTTTGACATTTTTGGGTTTTTAAGAAGGACAAAGATCCTCCCCCAAAAACAACTCAAAAGGCCCATTTGTGGACTGGATAAAGAAGAAAAAACATCAATACTACTGAGTGACTTTCCACAGGGTGAGACATTAATGAAAACATGTGAATAATGCTTTGATGTATTTTTTTTTCTGCCACAAAAGTGAATCATAAAACCCCCAATGTCGTATGACATTCTTGCACATTATCATCTGACCTGAATATATTTTCACCCTTGTCTTCATGTCTGACAGATTTGTTTCCATTACAAGTCTGAATCTTCTTGTGGATATTTTTTAACCAGCATGGTCAGATCGTAGATTCAGCAAACAGATGATAGATCCATAGTAAAAAGCCTTGTTCTCTTTATCTTTGGCAGAAAGCAACATTTGACTAAAGTGAGAGCAAAAGTTTAACTCCTTGGATTATCAAAAGAGTTGACAAGGCTTTTAAAAGGCCCTCCAATGGATTTACACAGAGGTAGTGAGCTTTGATACAAGCGTATTCATGTTTTTAGCACCATTTCCTGCCTAAAAACATTGATTCCATAGGAAGAAAAATGCAAGCCATACACTTTTCTCCATTAAAAGATACATTAGTGCGTATTACACTAATAATCCAGGGATTTTCAGAAATGTGCTAATCTGGATTACAGTTTGAACCATTTTACGGCATCAATCTTGAGACTGCAGATGCTTTTGTTCAGCTTTCGCATGAATACTTTGCTCCTGGTGTCACGGCATGTCTTCACTGAGCAGTGAAGTCCCATTTGGACCCTGAGACACACTCGAAAGTGCGGCAGGATCAGTTTCAATAGGTGATAAAAATGTAAGAAGAAAAAGGTGCATTGAGGAGGAAAGCATGCTTTTGTAGCATGTACTGGGTTAAAAATACAGTTTAACATATTTTAAAAAAACATTTACTTTTATGCTGACACAATGGCTTCCAGCGCCGACTGCATGAAGTGACATATGTGCTGGAATAGAGAAAAAAACTTTGCCTGTATACATTTTTCATAAAGTGAATATACATTAATAATGAGATCATGAACATGTGAATTAATAGTTTCTTGGGAGAAAATGATTTGGGGAAACAGCTGAAGACTTTCACATAGTACGGTACAGGACAAAATCCTTCTTTGTCCAAGCAAAGGCGTGATTAAAACTCCTACACCCATAGGCAAGACGTGAAGACGTAAGTTCACATGAGGTCTCAATCCAATCAGCCAGGACAGAAGAAAATCTGGTGAGCAAGGCTTATTAAGCTTTAAGTACTCAGTTCTTTACATACTGCCAACGGAACAAACTACTTTTAAGCAGGAAAATATGTTCCCAAATTTATAATAATCTGAAACTGAACTATTAATGTTGCTAAATCCTTCCTTCTGTGACTCTTAATGATGAGTAGAACGAAACTGCAAGCAGCAGAGATGTTTAGGAGATCTCAGGTGTCTTATTGTTTTTGAATGAATATATTAATTAAACCAATGTCCTAGAGTTGACAGGAGGATGGGTTGTATGGTGGCCCAAAGGCTGCTTTATAGCCAGAAGGTCCCAGGTTTGCAGCCGTCTTCTTACTGAACACACTTGGGTTCTATCCAGGCACTCCAGGAACCTCTTACCATTTTAAAACAAGACTGTTAAGTTATTTAGTCTGCGTTAATTTTGCAAGTCCTGAGGTATGAACATGTGCTTGCAAGGTTGTTTCACCTGTGTGTCTCTGTCCTGTAATTGTCTGGCGATCTGTTCGGGATAAAGCTTGTACACTTTGAAATTTTCCTCATGCCTTATTTGAGTTTTCCCTAAAAACTGCACAACCTAATGATTGGGTGAATTTTGTATTATAACACTTCTGGGAGATAATAGAGAACAGTCTCAATGTTTTCCACTTGACTGATGGAGTTAAACGAATGATCTTATAACTTTTCTCGGTGGGATGGGCAGCAGCCACTGCTTCGCTATAAACATTGCTGATGTCTTCACATACTGGCATTGTGTTGGCACACATTTGAAAAGGCTTGACCTAAATCTCTGATTTGAAAAAGACGGCCATTGCTTTAAGTGAATTTAATCAAGCAGAACTTGGGTGTGACGTTAAGAGCCACATGTGAGACAAGAGTTTACATGCTTGACAGCGGTCTGTTACTTTTGTGAAAATGAAATGAAGCAAATTACTTTATTTTGTGTTAAGAGAACTCTTCTATCATATCACTGACAAGTAGAGAAGCAACTATTAAATTTAAGTGTAAAATTTGTTTGGAAATGTTATTCTTTGAGTCAGAGTAAAAGTATGACTAACATGTTGTAGGGTTCTTGGTGCAGAGTTTCTGTATCTGTATAGTGTTTCTGTGCTCTTGCACAGAAAATAATAAGAAAATAAATCTTATTTTCCATGATGCGTTGACTCAGAAAGCAGTCAGACCACCATATGCTTAACTCATGCTACACATTGGTGTCTAACACACCAGCTTATCTTCAATCTCATTACAGGAAAATAGACAGAGACTTCTGGCTTTATTCCTTTAACCTTTCTGTGTAAAGGCTACAGTATTTAGATCCCATATTCACAGTTGTTTACAGTCTGTAGGTCTTATCTTTTCCCTCTGCACACCTCTTTCTCTTCTTAACTCAGCACTGTAATGTAAAAACGACTTTTTACATTATATCGTGATGTGTGAGCAATGTGCATACAGTTTCAGTGAGCAAAGAGTTTTATGTTTCCAAGAGCAAGCAAAGATAAGAAAAAAAAATCGTTTGTCACAGCAGAAGTCATCCGAAGGTAACAGCGAGCTTCCTCACTCCATCTTGTGGCATACCCTGCTCTTTAGTCCATTAGCTCTCCAGTGCTGTCACTGCATCATTAGGCCCCATCCACTTCAATAATGCAAAAAGAGCGAAGCTGGCAAACACCATACAGCCTTCTTATCTGTCTCGCACATCCTAGCACAGCAGGAGCCAACTTACTAACAACACATTATCCAGCCGATGGTGTGCGCAGCAGCTGGCATCATGCTGGCCTATAAAACCTGCATTAGTTGTGGCATCTCACAAAGTAATCACTGCAGACTAATTGTTAGTCACATGAAGTGAGGGCTAATAGTGAGTCTGTCAGTCTATGTGTAATGAGTGTGTGATGTGTAATGTGAAAATTAACATATGAAAATCACTTATTATGATTATTGTGTTTAAATTCATCATGGCCAGAGAGGTTGGTTGAGTATCGAACTATTGCATTCAAGTGAAAATGACTCAAGTAAGAGTAAAAAAAAAAAGTTCTTTGAAAACTACTACTTAATCACAGAGGACTCAAGTAATACTATTTAATCTGATTTCATTCGTGAGAATGGTGTAATCATGTCTGTCTCCGGTGTATTTTTGGAGCTGGAGCAGTTCGAGATCCAAAAAGAGTGATGAAATCAACCTTTATTGAAGTTTCACAAATAAAAAAAGGCTTTCACAAATCAAAACATGGTTCTAAATATTCTGCTACTAGTTGAGAATAATCTAGTCCAGGTTTGAAGCGTCTAGGTTTTGTAGTTTTGGAATTAGAGTAGTTCTAGTTTGACCGAGATCGAGAAAAACAGGGGCAAAAATGATCCCTTATTGAGGTTTCACAAATCAGAAAAAAGCTTCATAAATCCAAAACATGGTTTTAAATATCCTGCTAATAGATCAGACGAATCCAGTCCATGTTTGAAGAGTCTAGGTGTTGTAGTTTTTTTAAAGATGCAGACGGCAGTGAAAAATTAGGTGGGGCCGCCCTTTAGCCATTTCCAGAATCAGAAGCCGGAATCTGAAACCAACTTCAGCTCCGTCAAACAAACGTAATAAACATTAATATGAACAGTAGTTGTAGTGATAGTAGCGGTAGCAATATCATATTTATGAATTGGCAAATTTGATAACTTCCTTTTATGAAAAAGATGCCGCAGACAAATTACAATCTGCAAACTGAAGCACCCAGAATCCAGACTCTTGAACCAAAGCTTTGTACTCCAAAGCACAACACAGTTATGCTTAAGTTTCTTATAGTCAAAGCTTTTAGGAAGCTTCGTCTCTGTCCATCTGTTGTGGTTCAAACAAAATACAAACATAGGTTTAGGTCAGTTGCTTTGTAATATTTTCTATATGTCCTCCTAAAGGCTACAGTGCTATTAGGATGAGAAATCAGAGGGTAGATAGAAGTTAAACAGTAAACCATAGGAGACCCATCTAGCTAAAGTTGCCTTTCTTAGCATTAGCTGTTTGTGTTTCTGTCCATATACAGTAAAAACAAAGCATCTCTTCCTAGTTATAAAGCGCAAAATATCACCATTTAACACATTTATTTTGGTTGAAATCTGTCTCTTTTTGAGAGCATCTTAATTCCAGACTTAGTTTTTAGTGTGACTCTTATTTAATTGTTAATCGCATTCTAAAACATTAGCTTAATACTTACTAAAAACGGTTGATGTTAATCGCTAAAACTGAAAATCGTCCACTTTCTGAATTAGATTTCTGAAATACATAGATGTATATAGATAGACTGTTGATATTTATTTTATTTTATTTTTTAGATGCGGCTGTGTATATTTATAATCTCTGTTACACATTAATTCAGCAAAGATTCATCAAGAGAGAGAGAGAGAAAAAATCCGATTGTTTAACTCGTCTTGGACAGTAGATGGTAATATGCAGGAATCCAGATGGTTGAAGATGGATGATGGCTTTCCACTTCACGCACAGAGCAGCCAATGGCAGGACGCGGCCGAAGCAGATGCCTCTGTGATCAAACCAATGGGAGAGGAGCTTCCCTGTCGCCCTGTCTGCCTTCTGAATGGCGCTGTTTTGTGCCTACATGTGACCACAGAAGGCGCTCGCTGGTATTTAAACATCAACCACAGGGTGCTGAAGTGGACAGCTCCCCACGCAGATAAACAGCGCCGAGTCGAGGCGCGATGGCTGCCTATGCTCCTCCTGGTGGGTTCCTCTCGGCTTCCTCTCCTCGTAACACTGAATGAAAACACCAGTGACTCCCAACCTGCGCGTTATTTCCGAACACTGACGGAGGGAGGGAGACATCGCGCAGTAAGGCGGATGTCGGGGCACCTGTAGCTGATTCTGGATCACGGGTTCAGAAGAATCGGGTTGTTTCGCACCAGTTTCGTCTCGTTTTCTGCAGGATACACGGGCTCTGGTGCCGTTTTGGTCCCGTGACGAGGAAGAGCAAATGTCACCCAAAGCCTTTTAGGTGACGGAAGCATTAATTTCTAAGCCGCTCTGTGTGCCTGCTCGTACACAGGGGGAGCATGGATAGAGATGAATTTCCTCTGGCTGGAGCGCTGTGTGGATTTGTAGAGCGGGCGGTGTGCTCCCGTGGAAACTGAACTGAAGAGAGGGACAAAAGCACCGCAACTAACCTCGCCTTTTCCTCCAAAGATCCTTTGGTTTTTTTTTTTCCTTTTTTGAAAGGGGGTATTTGCAATCCCCCCCCCCCCCCAATCAGTGATGGGGAAAGAGGAGTGCAAAACAATGCTGGATGCTTTGAACAAAGTCACAGCCTGCTACAGGCATCTGGTCATCGCTCTGGGAAGCACATCGGATTCCCAGAACCTGCGAGAGGAGCTAAAGAAGACCCGCAAAAAGGCCCAGGAGCTGGCCGTGGCCAACAGGACTAAACTGACCACCCTGCTCAAAGACAAGACCATCAGCAAGGAGGACCGCGCCGAGTACGAGCGCCTCTGGGTGCTGTTCTCCAGCAGCATGGAGCTCCTGGAGGTGGACATGAAGAGATCCTTGGAGATAGGGCAGGACTTCCCCCTCAAGGTGCCCACCAGGCACCTCATCCAGACGGGCATGACCGGCAGCACGAATGCGGTGGCCGCCCGGGCCATGAGCGTCCAGAACATGAAGTACGAGGCCGACAGCAACATCGACACGGCGGACCTCAGGGACCTGCAGACCGAGATCACGCAGGTGAGCCAGATGATGGAGGAGATGGAGATGAAGGTGCAGGTGGCGCCGTGGGCCGTGGTGGCGAAACAAGAAGCGGGCGCCGAGCTCAAGTCCAACATGAGCGTGGGGAACTCTTCCGTGGGTGTCATCTCCATCTGCGAAGAGGAGCCCAAAGACGATGAAGGTGGAGGCGGCAGGGAGGGGGGTTCTGGGTCGATCGGCGCCGTGGTGGTGTTCTTTGTCATCGTGGCAGTCGCTCTGGTTCTAGGATATTTAGTTGTCAATATGTAGTGAACTGTCTGAGCAACAGCAGAGCCCTGAAGGACACCTGCTCGGCTTTCCACGGGAGACATCCATGTGAAAAGGCAAGAGCTCTACAAGACAGAGAGGGGGTGAAAAAACAAATGTTCCTACCCAAAGTTTTAAATCTTTCTTGGATTTTTGAATGTATTTGGTGGATCTGAGGAGTTGCACTTGATAAAACATAGGCTACTAAAATATTATAGACAACGTGAGCCTGCGGAGAGAACGACCATTGGTCCTTAAAGGCATTTGGAGGGGGCAATAGGTCATGTATTTTTGGAAGGGAGGAAAAAAAAAAGTCATAAAATTACGTGACAGTGTCTGGCCATCAGAGGGATATGCACAACACGTAATCCAAGTGGATTAGTGGAAAAGCTCAAGCGTAAATGTAGCCGATGGTTAAGTATCCCGGTTGATGTCCATCTGACTGATGCTTTAAAGTCTCGATTTCACTCCAGAACAGTCAGGTGTGTTCACGCAAAGCAGGTTGAAACATCTCGTCTTAAAATTAGGTTTATGCCTTTGGAAGCTAGAGCCAGCAGTTAATCCCTACGCATCACTTTGGTAGGTTGGTGCACAAATCTGCACTGCTCCACCGTCCTGACAGCACAGTTTTAATGCACCATAATAATCTCTACAATTGCACTGTAATAGGCCTGCATCTTACTGAACTCAACTGCATCCAATTTCAGAGGCTTCGTGAGAAACAGGACAAGATGTGAACAGTCGTTTCTTATTGCACCTTTTTTCACTGCAAAGCCTGCTCTTTGTTTCTATTCAGGGTTTTCTCTTGCAGTTTTGAATGTAAAAAAAAAACAAAAAAACATTGCAACTTGTGAATCGAAGATTTGTACATACAATCTATACAGCAGTTTCAGGTCATGTAAATACAATCTAGTATATTTATTATAATAAAATTTTGAAACACTCTTGAAGATGTGAATTCAGTTTTGAGAAAGCTCCGCCGGTGGTGCACAAACAATCTCTGTATGCCATTTGACAGTTGCCTTTGAGAAAAATCTCACCAGCATTAGTTGTGATAAATGTCAGATCTGGATCACTACAAAAACAGAGACACATACCTGCAATGAACTTAGAGATATTTCAAGCAGGGGATTAGTCTCAGACTTAACAACCTTAGTGTTAAATTATCGTGAAAGCAGAGTGACACAGATGCTCCTTTAGCTTCTTAGTAGTTTTAAATCTAAGAGTATTTAGAAGTATTTCTGGACTGGCACCAGGGAGGGACTAGTAGTGATGGGATGATTGTCCCGGGTCACAATGAACTTAGTGAGCTGGAGAAAAATAGATGTGGACTATAGACACTTAACTTTCTAATCTACAAACGTGGATTAAGCCTTTCACCGAATGTTTGAAGTTCAAACAAAATCTACGTAGATACATTTGATGCACTCAAAAAACAAAATAAGGAAAAGACTGAAATAGTGTGCTCATATAATTTGCTTTCTTTGTCAAAAAGCCTTAACAACAAATTTAGTTTTGTTTAGTTTTTCGGGATATTGAAATAATTTTTGACCAGTAATGAACTGCATGTGAAGATACAAAACAAGTGTAATATTGAAGATTAAAGAAATATTGATTTTAATGTGTGTTGGGTTCAGGACGTTGAAATAATGAGTTAAAAACTGACACTCAGAGAAGAACTAAGCAGTTTTATGACAGCATAACTATTGTCATTCTTTATCATTAGTAGGTTCTAATCATTATATACTAAATTTAGAATTTTCCAAAGTTCTTTTTGTAATGATTTTAAAGAGGGAAGCTGCATGGGATAAATGAGCTGAGCGGCACTTTTCGTTAGTTACTATGCAAACCAGTAATCCGTATTCGCTGACATGATTTCCTCAATAATCTGTTTAAGCAGCCGTTTGTTGGGAATCTAATGAGAACTCTGTTAAAATGAGCACTTACTTAATATAAACAGTCACCTCATCAACTCATGGGCGACTTCCGGTGTCTAAAGAGCAGTTAGAGGCTGGATACATGTAGGGATGTCAAAGAAACATGTTTAATTATGGCCAAATTGTCCTTCATGTCAATCCAATCAATAAATTAGAAAATTATGTCAAAATTATGTTTTATTTCCTCAATTCTAGTCACAAAGTCAAACACATTATGCAGATTAATTAACCCTGTTA